TCAAAAAAGTAACTAACTACGATGAAAATAAAATATTGTTTTGTAACGTCTTAAATTTATAAAAATCAAATATTTTCAAAAACTTAAATAGCTTATGAAATATTTTTCTACTATAAAAAACCCGCTCAGTGTATTATATGTGTAAAGAGTCATATTCAGTGTGATCAGATTTAAAGTAACAGAATATTTCGGACGGATGAACCGAAATTGAAATTAATTTGGGGGGGGGGGCCTAGGTTGTACTGAAATACATATTTTGTGAAATTTTCAAATTTTTAACATTTAAGGAGAGTGCATGCGCAGTACTAAATCTTTTTTTAATGGCAACGCTTATTTATAGCACATAATTTTTTTAAGTCGATTTGACTCACAATATATGGCTCTAAGTTCAAAGTTGAATAAATGGCAACCATTAATCAATTTTGAAAAAAAAAAATGTTTAATTTACCTGTGTAATTTAATAATTTTAGGTTCATGTATGTAATTTTATTTTGTTTCAATAAATGTTAGAATGTCTATGTAAAAATCTTCACTTCCTTCAGGAAAAATATGTTTTAAATTTTTATAATTAATATCCGGACATCAATTTATGAATAAAAATGTTAAATATTTAAATACTAGATATGTATATTTTAATGTTTGTGTTTATTTTACTGCGTTAATATAGAAATCATAACAATATTCAGTACTACTACTACTACTACTACTACTACTACTACTGTTAATAGTAATAGTAATAATAATCATATTAATAATAATTAAACATTTAACAAAAAAAAAAAATAAAATTGCATAAATTAACCTAAAATTAATAAACTACACAGGTACCTAATCTATATATTCAATTTTTTTTTAAACAGAATTTGTGTAAGAATATTACCTTATATTATAAGTACCTATTTTATAACTTATGAGTTATGATCAATACTAATTCATTTTAATGCGATCCCTGATTCTTGAGGTATCTAAAGAGTATACTGACTAATATAATTAAATGTTAATAGCTGATGTTATAATCTTGATTCGTCATTCGTGATGCCAATGCTAGCTAATATTATACTATTAAACATTTATGCACATATATAATATAGTATTAGTGCACCGATATGTATATCTAAATGTATTGATCTCGATTATAATTTATAATGTACATTAAATAATTGATTATACAATCGTGATTGATATTCGATTTCATAATAATTACTGCCAAGTGCAATTGCGTCTTATAATAACCGCAGTAGCTTTAGTTATATCTAATCTATATTGTATACTACAGTCTACAGACGGCGACAAACATATTTTATAAATGTTTGATGAATGACGTTTATCGGCACACATAAATAAATATTGTTTCTAGATAACAGACAATAAGTTCGACACATTTAGGCTTTAAGTATTGACTTTGCCTATTCCAAATTCCAACTCGGAATACTCATACGTATAAATGTATACTTTACTTATCACCGTAGTTATAAAAAAAAAAGGGGGGAAAGTAATTAACAGCTCTGCAGTAGACGGTAGGTGTCGAGTGTACCCGTTAGGTAAAACATTGTAATTATTGAAATAATTTATGTGTTAAATTTGAATTCAATGATAAATCATTGTATAACAAAGATGATTTGAGTGAAGCCGACCGTCGGACTATTTATTATATTATTGACTACTGACCACACAGCATTCAGAACATGTACACATTCTAGTCATGTGTGTTTTTCTTGTTCTTAGAAATATGTTATGAGATCATATTTTGAACACATTGTTAACGTATGTTCCTAATAAATATTGAAAATAAAATGGTTTCTCAAATACCTCTAATAGAAACATGTTTCTAAAATATTGTAAACGGATATCCTATTAAGTATTTGAAAAAAGTGGTTTCTATGATTTTATGGAAAGTTTTTTTTTGTATTTTAAAGTAAGTCACTATATTGGGCTCTATATAGCAGTTGAGATAGAAAATTATTATTTTTAATTTTTAAATTTTTTTTATGTATCTACTAAATTGATACATAAAAAAATGTTTTGTTTTAATTTATAATTTTGCAGTTTTAAATAAACAGAAAAAAAAAACTAAAAATATTTCAAAATTGAAAATGCCTATGATTAGTTCAAAACAGTCATAATATTTAAATTATACCATGTATAAAAAAATTAATATAAATATTTGATGAATTGTATATAATTGTAATTAATTGAATTAGTCTTTGAATTACTTACGAGAAAATAAAAAAATCGTTCCATGAGAAATCGATAGTTTACCGTTGATATGCTATGTCGAAATAATTTCACGCTCATATAATTCATATGCTCAAAAAAACATATTTGATAAATTTATGAGTGCAATCTTGTATGAAATTTTTAAATCTTAGATATAAAAAGAAATGACTAGGTAACTCGGATAAATTTTCAAGATTTTGACTAATTTTGTCGAACTTCAGACTCTCATAAGCAACTAGTAACACTGTAAATTTACGCCTGAACTTTTTTTTTTTTAATTACACTAATAACAACTTATGAGGGACATTGTTTTAAATATTCAAGTTATTTGACCAAGCGTACAATTTTTTATCGACAATTATTTAAAATAAAAAACTAATACAAATCGAAAATTGTATGGTGTATAAAAAATGCTAATATAAACATTCGGTGAAAAAATCACATATCTACAGTTATTTTTTTAGTTACAAAATGTTTATAAAAAACCGGTTTTGAGTTAAAATTCCATTTTTCCTCAATTATTTTCATTTATTCTGACACTTTTGAAAACTACTCTGAAATCCCAATTTTTAACTCTTGAATGTACTAACTGACCAACAAAATTTACATTCACACCAAAAAAATGAAGCATTATTTTCGGTTACTATTAATGAGTATCTGTTATCTAGTATCTACACAGGAAAAAAACACACTCCATTGTTAAATCAATACATTCAACAAACAAATATTGAATGTGTTGTAAGCAGGTTTTCTGGCCTAAACTACTGTTTTTAAACCATTAAGGCTTAAATGGTTAATATTATTATTTTTACTATGTCATAAGTCATAAATATATTTTTTGAAATATATTTATGTACCTAGTTAATATTATAAAACGGTGCTTGCTACCTATATGGCTATATCAAAGTAAAACCAATTTGAAAAACATCACTTGTGGCCACCAAATAAGATATTATTGCAAGAAAATAAATAGTAATAAAATTTAATAGTTTGACACCAACTAACTACCAATGTATGTGTAATGCTTAAAAAGTAAAACATGACTATGTGAGTGGCCTAGAAATTTGTTTTAAATTGTGTCTTTGTTTATTGTTATACAATATGCATAATTCATTGTTTATTTTATTCTTATTTATAATAATTTATGAAAAGTAAATTAAATTAAAAGATAATATTACTACATCATTTTTATAAATCAATCCAAAAATCAATGTGGCATTAAATGACAAAGATAACATTGACTAGGTATCTAGTCAATGTAACAGTAGTCTGTGTAGTACATCAACCACAACCAACAACATTAAAACTAAATGTTGAGCACTCAATTTCCAAAGTTTCTGCTTCCTTTTCTGATACAAAAGTACTTAGTATTAGTTTAAATGGTAATGTACAACAAGTTCAGCTGAACACTAGGATTACACTTCATACAATTTGTGTTAAACAATATGTAGTTTCCGAAGTCCATGATGTAAAATATGTTGTATCCACTATTCTTAAATTGGATATTTATATATATTATATTGTATTATTATATTTTAATGTAAAAGAAAATTTCCTACATTATTTAGTATTATTATGACTAGTATCTTCTATCAACCAGAAACTAACTATGAAATAAATTGTTCAAAAATGAATTTGTTTAAGAGTTATACTTACAACCTGATGCATTTTAAATTTTAATCCTCGGCTCGCCTCTGGTTATAAGCTCCTTATAATTTTCAAAGAATCCATTCATAATACTACAGGTTGAGATGCATAATATTATTATATACATATATACATAAAATATAGTATAGATTTTATTTAGTTCAAAATTCAAATCATATACATATTTAGAACCATAGGAGGATAATGGAGGCACTTGGAGGGCTTAAGCCCCCCCCCCCCCAGAACATAATCAAGCAAAATGTTGTATCTATACTGTACGTCTAACAACACATATGATGGTATGATACAATTGTAGAAAATAATCAAAATTTCTTGAGCAAATTTGACAAATATTTTTTTGTAAGAGTTTATTTTTATAATTTATGATAAAATCTATGATCATGGTTAAAAGTTGGTATACAAAGTGAAATTTGAGTATTAACAGTTTCCAGTGGAAAATCATTAATGTTACGTTATCACGTTTACTAATAGTATGTATAGTAATACAACTATATTTGTGCATGTGCCATGACATAATGAATCAATGGCATTATAATATCATATAATAAGAACTCAGTAAGATCAAACGTCAAAATAAATTGTATATTTGTAATTTTCTTTAAAATATTTATTTTATATAATTTATGAGCATTGTGTGAATTATAATTATAATTAATTCAATAATGGCTTAAGTGTTTGATATATTTAATATCAACAACACCTCAATTTTGTAAACAGAAAAAAATGTATCTAAATATATTAATACCGATACCATTGTTAATAATTTGCACACAGTAATAGGTTTGTAACATAAAATTTTTTAAAACATTTAGTAGCTATCAATGATTTATTAATTAATGTTATAAAGTAGGAACAAGCATTATTCAGTAGGTTGAAGTGTCCGAAAATTTGTATTTACGCTAATAGATGGGGTAAAAATTTTAAGCGCCCCCCTCCCTCCCCCCACATGATGTGACTAAATATCTATCTATGAATTAGAACTTAGAATAATATTTCAGATATTCACAGATAATACACTGACACAAAAAGTAAGATAAAACTAATTTTATACCAAATGATAAAAAATATATATCTATAATATATTTCTTACTTTAAAACTACAAAAATAAGAGATATGTTAAATGTATGAATTAATAAATATATTCAAAATTCTAATAATTATTAACAAAATCGATAAGAAATATTAACTACTGTGAACATTTGTTTCTTTTGTATGAACATCGGTTTCATGAAAATCGGATTTATTTGTACTATCATTTATCGTTGTGGGATCGACTTTTTTGGATGAAGCTTTGTAAACTTGCAGAACATTATTCTTTTTCAGAGTATCAATTACTTGATTTACAGAAAGCGATGGATCAGCAACTACCATGTTTACAGCTATGTTTGTGACATTTTGATTTTGTTGGGTCTCTTGCAAATTGATTGCTGGCAATTGGCCACGAGTCTCTTTGTGAAACATACTATAATACAAAAATAACTTGATTAGTTAATTATTATATTTGATAACAAAAAATTATAAGACTCACGCTCTGAATATATCTTCTGAGTAATATATATCTGGTATTTTAATCGACTGAGACGGCTTTGCATAATGTGGCTCCGATTCAGGTGGAAACGCCCGGTACACATCGTACCAAATGGGCCGATCATCAATTTTCATTGCCCCGGACTTTATGAGTCCGTTAACCCTAAAGATATTTCAACAGTTCAGATTAATTTAAGCTTTGCATATGGCATAACTATGAGTCGATTTTATTATCAATAAAAAACTATACTATACCTCGTAAATATGGTTCCTAGTTTTTCCAAACGACTCCCAGCCATAATAGGATGTATTAATTAATAATTGTAATATATACACGAATCCTTACAATAAGCAATAACCAGGCGATAAAGTATAAAAAACTTTGGATGTTCGCCGTTCAGCAATTACAATATTATCATTAACGAGACCATAATAGATAAGAGAGAAAATAATGCCGTATCAACCAGAAAACGATATGAGATAGAAATACGTATATTTTAATATTGAATATATGGCAAAACTGTAATCTCGATAACGATAAACGAAGACGTGATGGTCCGTGTCCTGTGATAAATTATAAATTAATCCTAAACGTAGACATTTATGATTTATTTGTATGTCTATGAAAATTGAAATTTGAAATTAATAACTATTGACAAACGACAATGCTTATACTTTATATTTATTTAATAATTTTAAACATTAAAGATAAGAAATTAGAGAGTTATGAATAAATTGTGCAATAGAATACTGAAAATGAGAAATTTGTTTCTGTATGTAAGTTCTGTACAAGTGAAATACGAATTGTTAATTATTTACAATCGTGCATTACCTTATACTTATATTTTGTTCTTTTAATAATTTTAGTTCTTATTTCCTAGTTATAGATTATACTATAGAAATATAGAGTCTACGGTGGTTAGACGTTTAGATAATTCAGCAATGTAATATAAATCTATCGGGACAGATAAACAATATCAGCCCGGTTAACTCAGTCGGTAGAGTTCTTTTCATGGTTGTTCCTATGCCACTTTGTCGTAATATTATATTATGCCCATTACTTTCTACATGATTTCTGGTCGACGTATACTAATAATGGTAATTTTCGGGATTTGGATACTTTATAGTTTACTAGCTGTTTTGCCCGACATTGTCCATGCCAAAGATTTGTTTTTTTTTTTTTAAATGTGTATGTCATATTTCTTCTTATTATAATATTATAGTAGGATAGTAGTTAGTAGGTAAGGCAACCATTTAAATAGGCAAAAATACTATTGTTTTTTTTTGGTGAGCTGAAAAAAATGAGTGTGTGATCAGGAATGTATTTTGAACAACTCTGTGAAAAAAAGGAAAAAGGTTCAGTAAAGCCTTCAAAAAATTGGTACCTAAGAAAGGCTTTGTTGTATTAGGTACTAGGTAGGTAGTGTTTTTACGATTTAAAAAACATACATTTTTCATTTTATGCTATCCACTAAAAGTTGACTCAAAACCCACATTTGAGAAACGCTGGTCTATATTAGAAATCTGAGTACCTTTTTTTTTTTTTTTTCCTGTTTTAACCGACGACGCCGCGGGATCTGCTTCCGCATTGCTTCCGCGGCGCCGCCATCGTTTATTGACGGTATCAAAATTAATATATACATAGGACTATAGGAGGCAGACGGGACAGCTCCCCGACAGAAATCTGAGTACCTATATATATCATTATCAATCGTATTGACATATTTATGATAAATCAAAACGAAATTGTGAACTTGTTTGATATATAATTTTTAGTTGTTTCATACCACAATTCAGACACATATTTTTGTGAGGAAGTATGCCGTGTGGCTCGGGCTGGCAAATGTATTGTTCATTTAAGGAGCGGTATATTTATATTGGCATATTATTATTAAAAACGTATTAATTGAACCTATCAATAAATAAATAAGTGTATAGGTACTACACATTTTTATTATCATTATAATTATTTATGAAAAGCAATTATTATAATTTATAGCCTCAAAAAAGTGTATTGTTTTCATCAATTAGTCAGAAAATTAAATTACTAATCACAAAAAATGTTTAAGGTCCACTATAATGAACCAAGAAAGGTGCTTTGCTTTCATAATTGGGATTATTGACAATTGAATCAGAAATAACAAGTAGGTAAAGCAGATATTTTAAAGAAATTAATAATATTATCGCTTTATTTTCAAAGCTCCAATCTAGGAAATAGCTTAAATGTGTTTATGACTTTATGTATCTATATTATTATTGTTAAAAAAAATCACAGATTATATAAATCATTATATTATAGAATCTGTAATAATAATAGTAAAATTTTTAAGTTCATTTTATTACAATAAGACAAAAAACATTAAATGCTTATAAAGAAATCTAGGTATGTGTTCATTTTTATTTAACATACATTTTTTTAACCCATAACTCACTTAATTAAAATAACGTAAAAACTAAAGGTAAAGTTCTTACATTTAAGTTAAATAAGATAATATGCAATTCACTCTACTACACAGAATTTGAACTGCTGGACGTACATTTTGCTAAAATATTATGCGTTAGTAAGACGGAGACAACACACGCGCGGGTACGACGTCCTCTGATAATACCTAACAATCATATATTATATAAGTATTAAGTATATTGTACCTACATACCCTAATATGTAAATGCAATGTTTTCGTTGAAAATGAATTCTACGTAGGTACCGTGTAAGATAAGATGCTAAAATAAATTACTAAGTTATATAATTATAATTATAATTATATCATTTTTGATAAGTGAATTTAGTTGGTACTTTTGGTTAAACATTTTAAACTATAAAATTATTTGTAAATGTTGTCAACATTTGAACTTCAAATGCTCATAACAAAAATCGTGCCTATGTATTTTTAATATATTGTAACAATATATGAGGAACTTTTCTTGATAATTAGGAAAAACCAAAATTTTAAAGCAAAAGCAATTTTTGATGAGTTTTTCTTATTTTGTTGTGATTCAAAAATTAAAAACCGTCAAGGTTCTTGACTTTTTTTACTGTAAAATGTATTTAATTTTATTGTATTTAATTTATGATTTAAATGTTTTATAGGTACTTTAATGTTTGTATTAACATTTCCTATGAATGGTATAATTTTGGTAAGTATTTTGGACTCTTTTTGAGCTTTTTACAGGCATTTGAGATATAAAATTTGTGTAGAAACTAACACATCTAATTTGTAGGTAGGTCGTAGGTATGTAATTCTGTATCTGTTACTCTCGTCTTTCGTGTTGGAACTTACTATTCCCCCCAACCTCCCACTCATGGACAAAATACTGTGACAACATGTAATCATGTAATAATATACTTCCACTAGAAGAGTGGTCACGCAAACAGTAAAAAAAAAAACCGAGCACCTAATGACAATCCGCACCTGATTTCACAGTCAATAACGGATTATCGATGTCCCTACCTAATTTTCACGCAAGAAATCGTGTCTGGGCACGATGGTCGACGAAAACTTTGAACGTAAATTTTAATCAATCAAAAATACCTATTCTCCGTCCGTCGGCGGAACCTAAAACCGTTAATTCAGTACTAGGAACCGATAAGGAAGTAAGCGTCGTCCGCCGAACGTCGTTTGTGGCTTATACCGTCAAGTAAGACCACGTCCGTATAGGTACGCAGGTAATAGAATTGTTGTTGTTGTTGATGTATCGCCTGCTGCCTCTGAACACTGCGCGTCGCCGCGGTCCTCCTAGGCTCCTGGTACCCGCGTCGACCACTCGTCAACGAATTGTTCGTAGTTTTGATATTTTTTCTCACCGTCTATGATTTTCGTTTCCGGATAGTAATGATATTTTTACGTAGGTACTTGCCGAGCCGGCCTTGACTTTGGGATCGGCCACAGTGTATCAGGAGATGATGTGCCAATAGCACTCGGTGGGGAGAATATAATATAAATTATTTTGCCCGGCACGCTCTTATCCCTGTAATTTATTACTTCTTAAAATTATAATAATAATAATATAATGACGAACGAATTCGCAGTATTATGATATTATTACTATTTTGTTTTCGCGTATTGATTTTTGTAAAACCACCTTGAAATGCATTCGGAACCGTGAACAACACGTCTAGCCGACGCGGCGGTAACGATACCGTCGATAAATTAGGTATACATACACTATACGTACATTTTAATCAACATAGCTGTTAACATGCGGATGCGATTAACATAACAATATTATGTTACATTTTATGAATAGGCGAAATAATAAATAAGCAATATTTTAATAGCTACTATATAAAAATGCATATTTTTACCTTTCTATAATAACATTAAAATTGTAATGAAAAAATATTTTTGGATCTTAAAATAAAATGTTCGTAAAAAAGAAGCGAGACAAGCTCGGAAAAAAATATATTATAGATACCTATTTAAAAAAGTGAATTATTAAGTATTAGAAAAAAATACAGTTTAGACTGTTTTAGCTAAACGTTTGAAAATTGTGATATATTATTAATAACAATATAATATTCCTATTTCAATTAAAATCGGTTTTGTTTTTTTAAAAACAGAAATTGACAAAAAAATATTACAATTTGTACACGAAATTTTAAATTATTATGAATAAAATTAATTCCGCTCAAAAAATAAAACTAGTACTAGTGTCTAGTGTACTACTATAACTTCAAATGCTTATAAATAGATAAAAATTAGTCCAAATATTTTGAAAGTTACATTGTGAATAGAAAATTATAACTTAAGTACAGCGCCTTCGAAACCTAAATTTCAAACACAAAAAAATGTATGTGGCTTTACAGGCCTTAATGCTGAAATTGTTTTTAAATTCCAATAAAAACCGTTTGTGAAATATTGTATTAAAATTTCAAACCTTACGTATAAAAATTAAAAATATTATGAAATTTAAATTATAAAATAATTTGATAATTTTCGTGACTGGTAAATTTAAAAAAAGTTTTTGATTTTCTCAACATTTATCAAGTCATTTTTATTAAATAATAAAGATTAAAGAAGTCATCTACTCTATGAATATATATTATTATTTATTAGTTTAGACGTTTAGTTAGTTAGTATAGTGATATTTTAAAGTAGGTATATCTAGTAACAATACCAGAGATGGCGAACCTATAACACGCGTGTCACAGAGTGACACGCGCACACTATTTTAGTGACACTCACGAATGTGTATACGTTTGATAATATTAAAAATTCTAGAAAAAAAATTGAAGGGTTATCGAATTAGTTGACACGCAGGGAAAACAAAATCTAACCAACAATTTTATTTGACACGCTGGTACAAAAAGGTTCGCCATCCCTGAACTATACCTATACTTAAATTTAATTCCTATTAAACATCCAAGCATATGTTTAGAATTGTTTGATTAAATAATATTATACATTAAATGCTTATAAATTATAAATTCTAATAA